TGCATTTTTTGTGATTTGGGTAAAACAAGTCGGCTCAATCACACAGGCCTGGGCCTAGAACTAGAAGACCGAACCGTTGTTCTAGTGAGCTTCATGCCTGTATCCAGAAGCAAAATTTAACATAATAAAAAACTGGCCGAATTCCAATACATTTGGTTTTCTGAAAGTTAAGCCATTTTCGTTTTTACGGTGTTGAAACAGAGTGCTGAAGGAACAGAGTCTCACAGGCACTCTCCCACCAGAGTTTGTCAGGCTCCCTTATCTTCAAACTATGTAAGTCCTTCTCCCAAATATTTTCATAATCAATTTCAATTTGCACCTAATCTTCTCCATTAATTACCCTTTTTTTTCATTTCCTTTTTCTACTTTTTCTAATTTATCTGTTCATTTTACAGTGACCTGTCTCTCAACTACCTCAGTGGCACTATCCCTACAGAATGGGGTTCCATGCAACTTGTCAAAATGTAAGCTTCCTCACACGCTTGCTAATTCTGCATGATGTTGTAATAACTGGATAATATACATAAATATGATATATGATTTTGCGTAAACGTTGTAAGAGTTCGTGTGTGTATGGGGATCATAGCTCCATATATATGTTGAAATAATGATTTTTATATATTTAGTTTCCAATATAGTTAATATTTTGAAAAACAATAGTTTGGATTTAATTATTCTATTCATTTTGATCAATCTAACATTTTTAACCATGTCATATAAAAAAAAAAAACTGTATTTTTTATATTCTACTATATGCTCATTTGTATATATATTATCGTTAATGTTGCAGTTCCCTAGTTGGAAATCGCTTAACGGGTTCGATTCCTAAAGAAATAGGGAACATAAGCACTCTTCGGAAATTGTGAGTTTTTGTTTAGTGAATTTTTGTTGTTATTTTGATTTGTTCATGGATATTTAAATTTGATGGATCCATATTTCTTGTATATGAAAAAAATGTGTAGCATTGTGGAGTTTAATCAGCTATCAGGACCTTTGCCTTCAGAGCTTGGGAACCTAACCTACCTTGAGAAGCTGTAAGACTGTTAGTTTGTTCTCTTGTGCTTGTGGTATCTATCTGTTCATATGTAATTGCATTGATGACATTGTTGTTGCTAATATTACAGTCATCTTACTTCCAACTACTTTACTGGAGAATTGCCACCAGAATTTGCTAGGCTAACCTCTTTGCAGGACTTGTAAGCTTCTGATTTTCTGTTAATTATCAACGTTTAGTTTGTAGAATCATGTAGTTTGTGATCATTTTGACTATTTTTGAAATGATGTAGTCGGATTGGTGACAACCAATTCACAGGAAGGATACCTAGTTTCATCCAGAACTGGACAAATCTTACAAAGTTGTGAGTGTTTTAATCATTGTCATTTAGGATAACCATTTGGGCTTATAATCAAGTCATTTGAATTGGTGTTTCTTCATTTCTATTAGCTAAATTAAACATTTGATAATGCCAGAGCAATTCAGGCAAGTGGCTTAATGGGGCCAATTCCTAGCATAAGTGCTTTAGCGAAGCTAACTGACTTGTAAGTATGGACTCTAGATTTTAAATATTTTACTTCTGCAAATTGGGATATTGTGCTTGTTTTGTTTTGTTTACTCTTTGCTGAACATTGTCAATATACAGGAGAATTAGTGATTTAAATGGAAATGATCAAGAAAAGTTTCCACCACTTAATAGTATCAATATATCAAAGATGAAGACATTGTGAGTATAATTTTACAGTAAAGTGCACTTTAATTAACTAAGGGAATAGCCTTTCTGCAACATAAATGATAAGTAGATTCTTGTGGTGTGTTAATTACAGGATACTAAGGAGTTGCAATATTGTTGGAGAGCTTCCTGATTATCTGAAGCAAATGACATCCTTGCAGACTTTGTAAGTGCATAATTGGTTTCCTATATCTTTCTAGGTACATGGAACTATTAATTTCATCTCCTTGCTATGTATTTTTCTTGCAGAGATCTTAGCTTTAACAGACTTAGTGGAGTAATTCCTAGCGACTATTCTAATCTTGTGAAGGTTGATTACATGTAAGCACATTATCTAAGTGATTAAAACTTACTTTCTTTCTTATTCATAAATTTCAATTCATTTTTTTCATTATTTTTAATTAGATTATGGTAAATTTTCTATCTTCTTGATGAATTTTTATATCAAACATGTAATTATGTCATTTGTTTCTCTTCTTAGTTATTTTACTGGAAACTTGCTCACTGGGAGCATTCCTCTTTGGATCCTGCGAAGTGAAAATAGCATGTAAGAATCTCTTTATGATATTTTAATGAGTTTCCATTTGTTCTAAGGAAGTATGTTGATATCCTTTTGTTTTCTGTCAAGAAGTTAGATACTGAAATATCCGTGCATAGTGCCTTGTTACACACTTAAAGTAACCTGTATGATATTTCTTTTTCTATGAATGGGTATCAACTTACTCTTTTTTGCTATACAAGTTGAATTGAACACATATGATCTTAACAAGACTATATGCATTTTGCCAAATCAAACCATTTATTCAAGTATAGTTTAAAAAAACTTGTCAGGAACTGATGAATTATCAATGACCAGTTTGCTATTTATTTTTTTCAGTGATCTTTCATATAACAATTTTACAACCCATGGGGCATTAAGTTGTCAGGAACAAAAAGTGTAATTATCTTACATCTAAGTTTGTTTATTTGTCAATAGAACTTATTATGCTTAGCTGTTGCACCAGAAAGTCTTCGTTATGCTATTTGATCTTTTACTTGTTGGTCCTGTTTTGTCACAGGAATTTGTTTGCGAGTTCTTCAGGGACCAACAAGTCGTAAGTTTTTAACTCTCTTCTCCAAAACATGTCATCTAAAGATTTCCCTATATTGCAACAAATTCATTTTGTTGTCATGATGCTGACATTTTCTGGACCTTGTATTCAATATCAGAGGGATTGTTTCATGCTTGAGAAGCTCTAAATGTCAAAAAAGTAAGTTTGAATAATTTATCTTCTACCCAATTTTTTTTTTTTTAATGTAAGCTTGAATAATATGTTTTCATACCTAATGTTAGGCTTTGATCATATAGCTCTTGAATTTTGCTTCTCATTTCAACGTCAAGGGATTTTTAGAGTGGGGAAGCAAAGGATTATGCATTCAATAGCATATATTTTCATGAAAATGCCTGTTAATTTCAACATCCACAGTTCAAGTATTTTTTTTTCCTTTCTGTATAAGTTCTGAAAAAGTAGATAATTTTTCTAGAATAAATAGCATTGTGACAATCTTTCCGTGTGAGCATGATTAAAAGGGCTGTTCTCATCACGTTTTATGATAAAAGATTCAATTGATACTATTTTAGTATCGTTGCACATATATTGCATACCTTGCAACACTCTTCCTTTCCCTCTAAAGTTCCTCAATCTTTCTTCAAAAGCTTAAACCTGCAAAGTTTGACAGTACTTAGCCAATTACCTGTGAAAATTTTAATTTCTTTTTATTTTTCTTCAAAAGTTCATGAGTTGTTTACTTTATGTTCCAGAAAGGTATGATCTCCATATTAATTGTGGAGGAAGTGAAGTAACTGTTGGCAATACCACATATGAAGATGATACAGATCCAGCAGGACCTTCAAGATTTTTTGAAGGTGGTGACAATTGGGCATTCAGCAGCACTGGTCACTTCTTGGATGATAACCACAGTACAGACAGCTTTATCCACACATTCAAATCTAATCTCTCCATGAAAGATTCACAATTGTACATGAATGCACGCCTTTCAGCCATCTCTTTGACTTATTATGGATTTTGTTTGGGTGATGGGAACTACACGGTAAATCTCCATTTTGCAGAAATAATGTTTGGTCATGGTAAAACATATAGCAACTTGGGGAGGCGCATATTCAATATTTACATTCAGGTAGCTATGATTGGTCTTGACTCCAGAACCTTTTACATTTTAATGTTTGGTTGGATCTAGAAAAAAGGAAAAATCAACATATGCCTGCATGGAATGTTTAGTAGTTTGAATACATAATTGCAGGGCAAGCTGGTGCAGAAGGATTTCAACATAGCAGATGAAGCTGGTGGGGTTGCTAAGGCTATCTTAAAAAGTTTTCCTGCACTTGTGACTGATGGTACCTTGGAGATTCGTTTATATTGGGCTGCAAAGGGAACAACGACCATTCCTTCTAAAGGAGTTTACGGTCCTCTTATATCAGCTATATCCATCATTCCTGGCAAGTTGTATAATATTTCTAATTCCTTCTTGTATCCATTTTGTTCAATTCACGTACAAGCCTGCCTTTTTCATGTTTACGTCATGCATTCAATAAACCAAGGAATCAAATTGTGCTGCATGTTTTCTTACTTTAAAATTCAGTGTGACTAAGTTGTACCTCTTCAGATTTTACGCCTCCTTTGGAAAATGGGGACAGTACTGGTGTATCTGTGGTGGGCATGGTGGTTGGAATTTTGGTGGGAGTTGCTTTTGTTGTCCTTTTAATCACAGGTGTCCTTTGGTGGAAATGCTACTTAAGACAGAAAAACACATTAGAACAAGGTACTAGCTTGAATTATGATACTGGCTTCATTTGTACTTCTTGAAATGCAGTTGGTAATGCAGAATTTTCTTAGAAAATTATTGTCTTTCCTCTTTACTTTTGGATGAAATGTAGACACGATAAATTCCCATTAAAACTTAATTCTAAATATTTGGAATCAAGAGAGTTTAGAAGTCACCTTCTAAATGATTCTGTTATCTTGCTCGTCCTCTACAGATCTGAAAGGTATGAACTTGCAGACAGTTTCTTTTAGTTTAAGGCAGATTAAAGTCGCCACCAACAACTTTGATCCTGCTAATAAGATTGGAGAAGGTGGTTTTGGTCCTGTTTACAAGGTATCATCTATTACAAAATTTTTTTTTTTTTAATCCTACAAAAAACTTGTTTGTAAGCTCATAGGATTTCTCAACTGCAGGGCCATTTGACAGATGGTAAGGTTATCGCTGTTAAGCAACTATCAGCCAAATCAAAGCAAGGAAATCGTGAATTTGTTAATGAAATTGGCATGATTTCTGCCCTTCAACATCCTCATCTGGTAAAGCTATATGGGTGTTGTATTGAAGGAAATCAACTCTTGTTAATATATGAGTACATGGAGAACAACAGCCTTGCTCGTGCATTGTTTGGTAGGTTTCTCAATGCACTTTGTAGTTTGAAAGAATTCAATGGATGAAAATATAGGCATATTAACCTTTTCTTTACTTGGTATTTCTTAGGCCTAAAAGAATGTCAATTGAAATTAGATTGGCCAATAAGACAAAAGATATGCATTGGTATAGCAAGAGGTTTAGTTTATCTCCATGAAGAATCAAGGTTGAAGATCGTGCACCGTGATATCAAGGCTACCAATGTATTGCTTGATAAGGATCTAAATCCTAAAATATCTGACTTTGGTCTGGCCAAGCTTAGTGAAGAGGATAATACCCATATTAGTACTCGCATTGCTGGAACTATGTAAGTATCACTGCTTCTAGTGGCTGAATATAATTGATGATAGTTCTTTTACATTTTCCATGATAATTTCATTATTTGAATGCATGTAACAGAAAATACATTTTATGTATGCCTAAATTTGTAGGGGCTACATGGCTCCTGAATATGCAACACGGGGTTACTTAACTGACAAAGCAGATGTTTATAGTTTTGGAATCGTAGTCTTGGAAATTGTTAGTGGAAGAAGCAACACAATTTGCAAAACAAAAGAAAGTAGATTTTATCTTAGTGATTGGGTACCAAAATCCTCACTCTTTCTTCATTGCAATATTCATTTTGTTAAGACTTGAACCTCATGAAAGCTATATTTTTCCTGTTTGCAGGCTCTTCTTTTGAAGGAGAAAAACAATTTGTTAGAATTAGTTGACCCAAGACTGGGATTTGACTACAACAAAATGGAAGTAATGAAAATGATAAATGTGGCACTGCTATGCACTAACCCTGCTCCAGCTGCTAGGCCTATTATGTCTTCTGTGGTGAGCATGCTTGAAGGAAAGAATGCTGTTGATGACTTGGATTTCAAATCGATGAGCAAGTTCGGTCAGACTCTTGAAGTAGAAAGTAGTCAACAGAGCCAAACAGAGAGTATGTCCATAGAATCTTTGCCACTAGTCCCCCCTTCATCTGCAACTGACTTTTATCCTGTCAATTTGAGCTCTGGTTATTGGCAGAACAGAGATTGAAAAATGGAAAGCTCTGTAAATCATCTCGATTTTGGCCCTGAAAACATCTTTATTGGGATTTTTACATTTTTGGATTTTAGACTTGTTAATCTTTAGAACATATGCAGTTAAAGCATGATTGAGGTTTAAATTGTGGAACCATTTTTAATATAGTTTAGTATATTGCTGTAGGACTGTAGATAAGGTAAAAACTGTAGACCACGTCGTGAAAAAGAAAGAAACTGTAAACAATATACTTAAAATTTTTGTGTTTGATTCCCAACAAGAATCTATTTGACATTTTTTGTGTTTTTTCTTGGAAGTTTGGTTTGGTTCAAAGTAACTAAATCATAAATTTATTTTGTTTGATATAGTTGCATTTAAATGATTCTATTTCCTATATACATGCATAAGAGTGGTTGATTCGTTGATTTTTGTTGGTTTCAAGGCGATGACTTACGAAGGCAAGGTGATGTTTAAAAACATCCACTCGGCATGTTGGGAGAATATCATTGGGATAAAAGTAGCCAATTTGGAACAGACTCTACAGTATACTCCATGGGAGAAATAACAAAATGTCAGCAGCACAAGCATTACCTGTTGTGTGCCCTAAAGAGAAGTCAGACTAACCTTTGACGTTTTCGCCGGCTACAAAGAACCAACAGCCTGAAAAAGAATAAAAAAACAAAAAAACAAAAACAAAAACTACCGGTTGTCTTGTCCGTTTGTTAGAGAAAGCGTCTCTCATTTCGTGTGAATAACATTCCTTTTCGTGGCAATAATTGGACAGGACCCGCTGACATGCATTTTTCTACTAAGAGTTATTCTAAAGTCAGCCACCTACCGGTTGATAGCTGTAATATGATGGAATGGCATTTAACGGGAAGGGGACTATCAATGCCGAATTATTCTTGCTCTCCCCTTGAAATTGACGTAATCGGTGAAGATGTTTAATAGTTATGATGCGTAAGGTGACTTCCTTTTCTGTAACAGTAGCTTTATTTAAGGTCATATAGTGATTGTGCCTATAATTTTTAATTTCATATGATTCTTTTTATTTAATTATTTATGTTTATTATAAGTATAATTTAAATGTCTTATTAGTCTTATAGTTAGTTTCTTTTGGTATTAATCATCTAATACCTGGTAATCACATTCGATATCAACTAATTTAGAATTGAATTGCGTCAAAGCCTATAAAAGGAAAGCTATCTCAACGCTTATTTCTCCATTTATAAGACTTGAACTCGAAACATTGTTTAATGAGAACTAACCTCCTTTCACTCAAATCAACAAGTCATTAATTAGTGATATAGTTAGTGCTTCTACCTTTAGGTTATAGTACCTAATATGGAGATTTAGTTGTAATCTCTTTAATTTTTAATTTAATAGCCAACTACTTAAGTAATTAAGTAGTTATCTCATTCCGCTAAAAGTAAGAGGTAATGACTTCAAGTCGCATGACATGTAGATGGGATAGGATAAGGGATAAGAGATGGTTGCTTCTTATTATACAACCAAGATCAAAATTTTTTTTTTAATTTAATAAAATCTCTATATTTTATCCAAAAAAAAAAAAAATCTACCATGTAAGGCTGCCTGATTTTAAGTTGACTAATTTTAAAATTATAGCAAATTCTATCTTATTAAGAATGAAAGTCTACTATACTCTACAATGCTGCATAATTTTAAATTGACTAATTTTAAAATTAGGAAATGTTCTATCCTGTTAAAAATGAAAGTCTACTGTGCCACGACAATCGGTATCCCCGTCTAATGAGAAAGGGGTTAAGGCCATCTATCGTCCCTCTACTATCCAAAATAGTTCATTCTAAACCTTCTACTATGGATTGGCTTCATGTCGTCCCTCTACTATCAATTAACTCTACTTGTCATCCCTCTACAATGCAAAAGCATGCACTTGTCGTCCCTTCGTCCAATTAAGCTAACGGTCTTGTTTATTGACCGTTAAGTGCAAACGGTCACACTTGGTTAGGCCCTTTTTTATTTTTATTTTTTTTGCCACCTTGTCTTGTGGGCCCCACCTCATCTCTCACAAATTTTTTTTGCCTTTGCCAAGACTTCTCGCTACCTCCCCAACGTGGATCCTGCATGTGGGCAGGAACTCAACCCCATTTTCTATTTATTTTGCCTCCAAAAATTCTCAAGTTTCTATATCTTTAGTACAATTTTTAACTTTTACAGTCACTTGAGATTTGAGTTTTAGAATCTCTGCACAAGGAAAAGGAAAAGGGACGAAAAGGTTAGATCAACAGCAGCAAAGCAGAGAACGGCTTCAGAGGTATACAATAAAAATGGAATTTTTTATGTTTGTGGTTAATTAATTTAATGAAGGATTTGTGGAGATTAGTAAAATAATCTTAGTTTAGGTTTTTAATTGGGGTTAGTTGATTCAATTGTCAATGGTAACCATTAGTTTATTAGATTACAATGCATTTTGAATGAATTCTTTTGTTATTTTCTGATAATTTGTGTTGATTCTTTAGGCATTTTTTGTAATGGGAACCATGCAAGTAGGAATGTCTCTACACATCAGGGGCAAATTTGTTAAAGATCCATATTTGAGGTATGTTGGAGGTACCTTTTAGAGTATGTGGTTTGACTATGGTAACATAGATGTTGCTGGATTTAGAGCTAAACTACAAGGCTTAAATATTGACATTGATGGAATGAGTGATTTTGTTTGGTATAAGCACCCAAGGAAGAAACTTGAAAATGGACTTGTTTTAATAGTGTCTAATGAATCAGTTAATGACATGTTCCAACTAGTTTTTGAACATGGATATATGGATGTCTATGTGAAACATGAGGTAGAGGTATTAAAACAATTAGGCAAATCTGGGCCCCATAGTGGTAGTGGGGCATCTTCAGTAAATGTTGTTGTGGGGGCTTCTGAGGTGGTGGGAGATTATGTTGTAAATTTGCATAGATCAGAGCCTTTTTTAAATGATGAAGAAGTCTTTGGTTGTCTCACTCAAGATAGCCTCATATCAGGAGAACAAGCCATTACTACTGTAAGAGAACAAACCAATACTGCAACAGCAAGCTTAAGCCGAACAGTGCAAGCTTAAGCCGAACAGTGCAAGAGGCAGAACTTAGTGGTGATGAGTTCATAGATGTTCCTTGGCTAACTGATAACGAGGATGAAGAATGGCAAAGGCAAGGAAACAAAATAGGCTGTTAAGGTCTCAATTTGGTGGTAGGTTTGAAGGGGAAGAAGAAACAGCATTGTTGTTATTTGACCCAACACAAGATGTTGTTGAAGGACATAGTGATTCCATTGATTTAGATGACAATGTTAGCTTTGTCACTACCAGCAATGATAGTGAGGCTGCTGAAGCTAGAAGGAGGAGGTCACAACACAAGATCTTTGATGACAGTTTCCTCATTCTAGAATTTGAAATTGGTATGATTTTTGCAAGCACCCGACAATTTAAGGATGCTATTCTTGCAGTATCAATTTACACAAGAAGAGAAACTGTTTTGATAAAAAATGATAGAAGGAGGGTTCAGGTTGCATGTGTGGATAAAAGGTGTGATTGGACTCTTTTATTGTCAATAGATTCTAGAACGAGGAGTTGGATGATAAAAGCATATAAGGACGAGCATACTTGCAGTTTTAGTTGGAGAAACAAGAGAGTTAAAGCTACAACAGTGGCTAGGCATTTTATTAAAACCAGGAGTTATTTTGCATTGACTCTTTCTCATCCCAATATCCAACAAGGTATGCATGAAGAACTGCATCTTAAGATTACTATTAGTCAAGCTCGGAGAACAAAGCTGCTCATTATTAAGGAGTTTCAAGGTGATTGCAAGAAGGAATATAGTAAGAAATATTGACAAGAAATCCAACAAGCACAGTTAAGATTTATGCGGAAAGGCCTACACCTAATTTGAATCTTGTTTTCATAAGGTTTTATGTATGTTTTGCTGCTTTGAGAGAAGGTTTTTTAACTGGGTGCAGACCTATTATTGGTCTTGATGGAGCTTTCCTCAAAGGTCCAACCAAGGGACAATTGCTATCAGTAGTAGCTAGAGATCCAAATAACCAAATGTATCCAGTAGCTTGGGCTATAGTAGAATGTGAAAGAACAGATAGTTGGACATGGTTCCTAGAACTTTTGGGGGCTGACTTGATGATAGGTGATGGAGAAAACTTCACATTTTTGTCTGATCAGCAAAAAGTATGTGAGTCTATTTTGTTTTTCCATCAATTTTATTTTTTCTATAATTTTTTGTTCCACAGAAAATTTATTTCTTGTTTTTTAATTTGTAAATAGGGTCTAATTAATGCAATCCAAAGCTTATTCCCTAGAGCTACACATAGGAGACTAGGCATATATATGCAAATTTTAGGAAGCAGTACAAGGGTAAGCAGTTACAAAAGTGGTTCTGGATAACTGCTAAATCATTTACTGTTGCAGAATTCAGGAGAAATATGGAAGATATTAATAAGTTGAACCCTGCAACAAAAGAGTACCTCATGCAATATGATCCAAAGTACTGGTGCAAGGCATTCCTTGATACTCATTGCAAATGTGATGCTGTTGATAATAATATGAGTGAGACCTTCAATGGATTTATTCTTGAGGCAAGGCAAAAGGCTGCTATGTCTTTGCTAGAGGACTTAAGGTGGAAGTGCTCAAAAAGAATCATAGCAAAACAGGCCTATGTAGACAAAAGTTTTGTTGGAGAAGTTGGTCCAAAAATTTGGGAGAAGATTGAGGAGCATAGGGCTACAATGTCTAGGTGCTATATGTTATCTAGAGCCCTTGTGGAATATGAGATGAAAGAAAGAAATGACTCGTTTGTGGTTAATGTTCGTGACCATACATGCACTTGTAGGGTATGGCAACTCAATGGCATTCCTTGTAGACATGCCATGCTTGCCATCCAACATAGAGAGGAAAACTTTGAAGACTATGTGCACCCTTGCTACAGAAGACAAGCATACATTAACACATACAAGCATTGCATAATTCCTCTAGATGGCATGGAAAGATGGGAAGAAACCGGCATGCCTCCACTTGATCCACCAGTGGAAAGGAAGACGACGGGCAGACCTAAAAAGAAAAGGCATTTAGAAGATTGGGAAATTTCTAATGGATCTAACATTAGTAGAAAGGGTAGGATCATGACCTGTCGAGTATGCTTCAAACAAGGCCACAATTCCATAACTTGTCCATCCAAAAAGCCAAAAAATGTAAGTGTAATCTCATTTAGATAATATAAATTTGCTTAAGATTATTTGTTTCCTAACAGTTTTAGATAACTAAAGTTGAGTTTTTTCATTTCAAGAACAGGCTGAAGAGTCATCCTCCACTCAAGCAAATGTTGTGAATAACAATTCCATAAAAATTGAGATGCCTATTGGAGATGCAAGAGTTGCTGGAGTTGTAGAAATGCAACTTCAACCGAAAAATCAACAAGTTGCTGGAGGTGTTCAACTGGAAATGCAACCATAAAAGGAACTACTTGTTGCTGATGGTCAACCGCAACTTCATGCAGAAAATCAACTACTTGTTGTTGATGATCAACCAGAAAATCAGCTACTTGCTACTGATGTGCAAGATCAAACTGGTAATCTCAGTTCAAATTTAATGGGAATTCAACAAGCCAAAAAAGGAAGGAAAAATGATGCCAACAATTCTGTCCAGTGTCCACCTGAGCTACCACAAGAGTTCAGACGAAAATGTCAACACAAAAGAAAGGCAAAACCCATCATTAAAGAACTAGTTGTTGAATTTGTGAGTGGCACAATTAATATTGAAGTCAATGAAGGTACAAGTCATGGTCATCAAGTGCATGTGCATGGTAAGGGGAAAGCTGTTCATGGCAACAAGGGGAAAGTCATCCAAACCACCAAAAAGGTGATTTCTCATTTTAAATTATGTTCATCATAACATAAGTTTTCATTTTTTATATTTATATTGCTACTTTAATATCGATAATTTAATTTTAGGTGAATGAAAGTCGTAAGAAAATGACCACATTTGAAGGATATGGAGCCTATTTCAACATAGAGACTGGATTGTGTATTTTAGATGTAAGATTTTAATCTTGTTACAAATTAATTCATTTTTTTATTATATTTCTTTGATGTGGTACTAAGTCTTTTCATTTCTATGTATTTTCATTTTTGTGCTCTTTTTTCTATTGTTCATTAGCTTGGACAGAAAAGTAGAAGAATCCTCTCAATCCCAAGGAAAAAACCAAAAGTTTCTGCAAAGGCTCCTGTAGAATCTACTGTTTACACAACTGTTCATGCCCCTATTCACGCCACTGTTCATACCCCTGTTCATGCCACCACTCACGCCCCTCTTCAAATTTGCATGAGTTCTTCAATATTGAAAGTGTCTCAATCCAAAAGGCAATAAGAAACTCTCAACCCCAACTATTTAGAATTTTAGTTTCTAATTGTAAGTTAGAATTTCAATTTTTTAGAAGTTGGGATTGATATGCATTAAGGTTTATGTGTATATACATGAGAATAGCATTTATT